CCTTGCGGGATGCTCTTTCTCTGGCCAGGGCCTTTGTAGGGGGGGGGGGGAACTGCCCCACCAGGGTCTCCTTTCCTCCAGCTGAGGTGAGGAGGGGGCCTCCCCACTCAAGGAGGAGCTAATGCATCAGTCTTGGGCCCCAGGAGGGGAGGGAGACCCTGCAGCCTTGAGCTTCAGGGAGACCCTCTGCCAGGGACTGCCCACCATGGCCACGGAAGGCGCCCGCGGATGAGCCCCCCCACGCCCCCAGTCCCTGGCCCAAGCACCTCGGGGTCTGTCCAGGCCATTTCCTCGTGGTGAGTCGAGGTGGCCGGAGACTAAGGGGGGGGGCGCACCTACCAGTGGGGAGGTCCCAGATGTGGATGGTGCCGTCGCAGCTGACCACGTGCTGCGGGGCCTCCAGCAGGCCGACGTAGAAGACGGACTTCTTGTGCCGGTCGTAGGTCAGCCGGGGCTCGGTCTCGTGGGTGCCGTCCCCCCGGTTGTAGAGGGGCCAGAGGCGCACGGTCTTGTCCTTGCTGCCGCTCAGGAAGAAGTCCTCCCCGCTCAGGGGGGCCAGGCACTTGACGGCCCCCCCGTGGCCCACGAAGCTCTGCAGCCTGATCTGGTGGAAGTGGAAGGGGGGGTCGTGCTGCCCGACCCCGATCTCGTACTGCCAGTAAGCCAACCAGTTGCCCGAGAGGAGGCGGGCACTGGAGCGCAGCTCCCGCTTGAGCGTCTCCCCCTCCTGGCCCCCCAGCTTGGGGAGCAGGCCGCCCCTGGCCCCGCCTGAGAACTCCTGCTGGCCCTCGGGGGGCACCTGGATGCGGTTGCCCACCAGCACGCCCCCGAAGGTGCCTGAACGCGGGTCCTCGGGCAGGGCGGAGGGGGGCTTGGCTCCCAGCGCCTCCTGCTCCAAGGGGGCCTGGCCCGGCCCAGCCTGCCTTTCGGACAAGGGAGTCGCCTGCTCCAGGTGAAGGCTGGCCAGCTGCCTGACCGAGGCGTGGTTGGGCACAATCGCGTGGAAGGCGTCACCTGCCGGGAGGGGAGGAAACAAGGGAGAAAGAGGAGAGTTTTGCTCCCAGGTGGGGGGAGGGGGGTTTATCGCAAAAACCCCTTGAGAAGCTTCCTGGCCCCCCCCCCGACCGATGGAGAAGCCCAGCCTCCCC